CCTGCATTTGCGCACCTACTCCAAGTAAAAGACCAAGATGTACACAAATCGTTCTGACGTATGTTCCCGATTCACATTTCACCCTGCAAAAGCCGAATTGACCGGAAGAAAAAAATATCAAAGAAAATTCTTGATTGCTAATTGCTATGCTTGCCGCAGTTTACCTTGCGAAAGTCTCACAAGATGCTGGGCTATGAACAAAACTTGCGTCAGAGGCGAGACTCAAACCCTGCGGGACTCGAACCCACACCTTTCGCTAGTCCAAGTCTCGTCTGGGGCAAAAGTTTTGTTCACAACTAGCATTCTAGTGAGACTATCTTAAAAAGGTTGGAAAACGACATTAAAAATTCTCCTTGGAAAACGACTTTAAAAAATTCTCCTATGTAGACTATAAATATTAATGTACTAGATTAGAAGCACACTATCAAAATGCTCGCAATATGAACAAATAAAGCAAGAATTTTATAGCATTATCACTTGCGCAAGGGCTATCGGGCTCCCAAGAACTCAAAGTTTAAATAAAACTCCGAAAAGCCACCTAGAACGACCACCATGAACTCCAAATGTAAGAAAACTTCGATCAGTATAGTGATGTGAACAGAACCCCAACAAATCCCTTTCTTTTTACTCCAATCATTCAAGCACATCAGGTAGGACAACTACGTACTGCAAAATTTCACTGTGTCTCACAATTTGCTTCTACTCTGAAAAATGATTCAAACTTCCAAGAGCCTAAAAAACATGGGTGTTTCACGTAATAAGCTAACGACCACATGGGTTTGAAATGCTTTCAGCTGAAATCCTTACTGTAAAAACGACTGTAGCCTTTTTATTTCATAGTTAGCCAGCTAAGGATAGTATCCACAAAACAGCACAGCGAAATCTTGTTTTGACCGGGTTTTGCAGTCAAAAATGGTACAGTGAACGTGATTTCCCACAACAGTTACACTTCTATCACTTCTTCGGAGCCGACCATGGCCAATGATGGAAAAAATCGCGAAACCTGCTGCTCATCGGTTTTCAAAAAAATTGACATCAGGGTCACTGTGATGCTGAGATGCTCCCAAAACATGTGTCAGAGAGAAAAGCTGCTCTCGGAAACAGAAGAGTTTCGGGGGCAGTAAGTTCAACAATTAGGGATAGAAAAATATTCTCATGCACAAGGAATGCACTGCATTTACCTAGAGAATCACTTACCAAGAAACAACACTAAAAGAACGCACCAGAAGATTCCCATCTGCTGCTCTTTGTCATATTCAAGGAGCTTGTTCTCATAAATTGTTCTCACACGCAACTGGCGCTTTACGGCTGAGATCAGTGGAGGACGTTGGAAACAGAGCACCGGTTAACTAAAAGGCATATTGACATTTTTATTGAAAAAATATATACTGAAACCGGACAGCTACAGAAATAACACGAAAAAGTGTAGGAATACGCTTACCTTTTCCAGTGCTTGCCTTATCTTCTTTTCGCTTTCTACAGCATTATGAAGTTTGAAGATGGCAACGTATTCTTTACCTGCACCTTGCTGAGATTTTGCTAACCGAGTAGTACGATCGATACATACGATGAGACATCCAGACACCTGGAGGTGCATAGCCTCAGGAGTATCAAACAGTGTAAACCGCCAGCAAAATCAAACAAACCTTAGGGTCCAGAGTACCACTATGGCCTGTTTTTTCAACTCGAAGGATGCGCTTAATCCAAGCCACAACCTCATGAGACGACGGATTCGCCGGTTTGTCCAAATTGAAAAAACCAGACGATATGTAATTCTTGATTTCCCTTTTCAATGGGGAACATCCTTCAGGAAGAGGGGTGTAATGGTTAGTTCGTACATTCATGTTGTCGAAATTCTGCAATAATACCGTTTTTTTTAAAGAAATAATTTAAATTCCACGAAATACATGAAGAATAGAGGAAAGAAGAAACCTTCAACAGTAATGGCCATTCTTGAGATTTCAAACTCGGTTCAGCAGTAGATGGCTTGAGATGGAACGTGCCCTTCTCCTGCTCTTCCTGCAAAATTGGATCATATATGAGAACAGAAATTGAGACTTTCACACCACCAAATACTGTGGCAACTGTTGTGGATGTTTCCAAGATATGGGAATAGAAATAAGCTTGACAAGTTTTTCTTAAGGCCGCTGAAAAGTTGAGACATCTTTTATTAGCCGGATTTTGCAATAGTTTCACGCATTTCTAATCAATACTGAGCATATACGACACACTACAATATGCAGAGGGGAGGCTTCAAAACATAAAGTTGTAACCACTCGCCATAAAACTGGCTATTTGAAGCCGCTCCCCACTAGATTACTGATAAATGTTCCCCTACTTTTAACCTCTTGCGACCCCGCGTGCCACTAGAGCGGAGCAAGGGCAGAGAAGGAAGTGAATTTTTTTTTTCAGCATTTTGTTAAGTTACAAACTCATCAGTTTACTTTTTTGGACACAGGATATATCACTTATTGGCATACTGGTTAAATTTTTGATAGGTCATCGGCCACTGATTAAACAGATGACAAAAACCTACGGAGGTGCAATTATAACGGCGGTCCGCAATGGGTTAATCTGTTATTGCCTGGCTGGGTTATGAGTTTGTCAAAAATAGTGGACAAACTTCATAAAGCAAATTGCGAACGGTTAAATTGCCCAACAAATTTTGTGGCCCATTTCCATAAGTAAGACAAACGGGGGCTCCATGTATTTCCTCAGATACATGAACAAAAAGCCTTGAGAACAAATCGAATAGCGGACAAGCTGAATCCAGAGCACGAAATCGCTCTCGAATCAGAAACTAAATTCCTGAAATAAACTCAGGTCCTATAAGCATATCATGAGAAACTTTCCCAATTCAATTAGATTGAAGGACTGTTGGGTAGGATAGTTGGAAACAGGTTGGAAAATATACTGAGTGTGACTTAACCGCCAACATCAAACACTCACGGTTTTCCTTGCCTTACCGCATGTGTTAGCCTGAAATTGAAATACTAATCGGGACCGTTCACTTTGAACAGAGCACCTCATACGAATGTAGCTCTAACGACAATGAATAGTAACGCGACAACAATGTAAATCGTTCTATAGCTCGACCATTGATAGGACTACTTTTAGATGCTGGAGACACAAAAAAACAAACAAAAAAAAACGATCTACGACAAGTTGATCTCGCTGAAGCCTTCACTATAATCTTGTTTTTGTTTGGAAAACACCATGAAGAAAATGTGGAACACTGTGAGAACGTGTATATAATATATACAGGTGAGCCTTGAAAAGGTTCCTACGCTACAGTTGCAGTTACATGGCCAGGACACTAAAAATTGGGAAAACTTCGATCTGCACATTTTGTTCAGAGTACACAGTGCAGCCTTCATCCATCGCGGTTTAGGTCTCAAATGCGTTAAAGCTACGAAAAACAATGTTCTTTCAATAGTAAATATTGAAGCCTTAGAATAGAGGAAACCCTCCGGGTACAATGAGGCCACTTGACTGTTTTTTCAAGGACTTCACTACCCATCTAGACGGAGTGATCATTTTGTACTCCTACTGACTAGTATAGGGCGCCATTCGTTGCGGGACCCACTGCCTTAACCCGCGGGGATCCCATGTGATCGCGGTTGAATTCGAACATTCCAGCTTCTCACGCATGTCAAGTGTCTGCCCTCACCCCCCACCCCCCTAGACTGGCGACACTGCCCCTGGCTCACGGATTCCCCGCTCCACATTGAAGGGTTCACTGTAGCAGGAGGCAGTGGGACCCGTAACGAATGGCGTCCTTTACTAGTCAGAAGGAGTACAAAACGATGCGTTCGCACCTAGGCTTAGTCCTGACCTGCTGACTAGGTGAATATTACTTTTCGTAGACGTTTAATGTCATCTAGTACAAGAATACATACATTACAAAAATTTGAAGAAATAACATAGGAAAAAAGCTGATAGCAGCTCGTAACTTTAAAGGACTCCTTGAGCCAAATTGGCATTAGAGCAGACTGTGCACTACAATGCCCCCTCTTACCGGATGAGACCCGACAACTACTAGCAAATGTGCCTTAATTAAGCTATTTACGTGTGGGACAGAGATTAGCAACCCATTTGAGACCGCAAATGCAAAACACCTGCAAATCGATAATCCGCACTCTGACGTATTTACCAAGAAACAGTGCCATCTAAACAAAATCCGGGCCCCTTTAACTTTTTGGATTGCGTGCATCAACCCCACACAAAATACAGAGCACCAAATTCTCCAACGAAAAAAATACGCGCCCGGTCTCCCAATCAGCTGAACATTTGCCAAAACCCGGGAAAACTGCGTGGAACCCCTTCGACATGCGCAATGGCGTTTTGGGCGGGCCGCCAAGCAGCATTCGATTCGAAATCGTCTCATTGGCGCTCAATCAGTCTGCACCGGCTGCACGCCGTGTGCGGCCTTTCTCATCCATTCCTCCACAGCTCATTTTCCTCCTATTTACCGTTTAATTCAGCCAACTTTCCCTGAAAGGTGTTCAAGTGGTGGTATTCCCATGATTCATCCCGCCGTAGAATTTGTTCTTGAAATTTGCCCATGGTTGGCCGTTTACTCAATGTTTCCGCGATTTCGTCATCTGGCAGCTACTAACATTTCAAGTTGGTCATTCTCTGGCTATGGCTCGTACTTGTTTTCTCAACCTGTATTTGTTGGCACATTATTCTGGGGCGAAAGTAGTGGTGCTATTCGATTTAGGCTAGCCATTGAAAATATCGATATCCTCAAACTCGATTCGCGACACGTTTCAAAGCTTGTGTATCTGTTCTATAATATATTCTCTGCGGGTTTAATCAACAACTTCAAAATTCAAAATTTCATTTTCTTTTGAAGGTTTGCTCACCGAGGTAAGGCCGCGTTCATAGTTCGCGACTCCGGAGATTAGGATAGTACGCGACAATGAAAAACATATGTATTGACGGGGAGATTAGGATAGTAGTAGAGTAGGAGATTGCGCTGACAAGATTAGATACGTATCGATTGAAATCGCTGGAGAGTAGTAGATTGCGATATTACGATAGTAGGAGAGTAGGATAGTAGTAGATTAGGATAGTGCGCTGACAAGATTAGATATGTATTGATCTATTCGCTTGAAGTCGCCCAATCTACTACTCTCCAGCGATTTCAATCGATACGTATCCAATCTTGTCAGCGCAATCTCCTACTCTACTACTATCCTATCTACTATCCTAATCTCCCCGTCAATACATATGTTTTTCATTGTCGCGTACTATCCTAATCTCCGAGTCGCGAACTATGAACGCGGCCTTATTATCTCTACTCATTAGATTATCGCGAAAATAAAACGATGCCCATTCTATCTAGTACATTTGTACACTTCATTGCTATTAAGGCAATGTTGGGAGGTAGGCGATTAGGCAATGATTCAAAGAAAAGTTAACGTTTCGATTAGTGGATTAGGGGACTAGGTGAATAGGCATTAAAAAAAGGTGCGGGTTCGCTTGGCTCATTAAAGAAGGTAAAGGAATCGGCCTAGTTCGTCCGGGGTCGCCCTGGCGAGGTGATGTGCAAGCATCGCCAATACTTTAGTAGGCTCATCAAGTTGTCGCAAGGAAGACTGTTTCGTGACTTTCAAAACGTTTTGGGGTTATTAGTAATCAAAGAGACGGTCAACGGACCTTTACCCATCGCCAACTCACAATCAGTCCTTTAAGCTGCCTCATTCGACACTTTCGCCTGCTCTCTCTCGCCCTATCAGCGGCTCATGAACATTGTGATCTCATTCAAACTTCTGCCACACTATAACTGGCTCACCCACCTCGGAGTTCCTCCTTCTTACAAGGCTTATTCCTAGACCTTTCACTTCCCTCCTTGCACCCGAGCCAGCATTCTCTATGGTCTTTTTGAGTCCGCCATTCAAGGCAGGACCATAGAAGGAAGTTCAAGTCGTCCGTGAATCATCAAGAGACATGTACATATAAGGCTAGGTTACTGCATATCATGACTTCACTCGAAAATATTAGACACGTGAGTGGGAATAGAGGTTAGCAGAGATATTAGGAAGCCAATCCCTATGGTGTCTAACCTATATTCGTGCCAATCTCTCCCTGAATCTCTCATAAGAAGTGTAGCTTCGTGAACATGCACCAACTTGCGCTGTACTTGTGAGGATCAATATAGTTCTCCGTGATGCAACGTAGGTCCCTAGCAGCTGATATTGACTTCCCTGAGGTCCGAATTCAGATCTAATCGGCTCAAGTCCTATAGAAATCTGCTTACTTCTATGGTAACTCTCCTCTGATGGGAGGACGAAGTTATACGAATGGACAACACAGCCATGTGTATTTCTGATTTTTACCTCTTTTTTGTGTCATTTCTTTGTCCATCTCATTTCATATGTTATTCATGAGCTCTTCCAGCTTGAGTTGGTTCTTTATCTTGAAGTAGGACACATTAATAAGCAGCAATGGCGTAGCGGTATGTGGCGCTGCACAGCACTGCAGTAGGCGAATTCCGAATCGAATCGTCAAGGCCAACGTAGTCCTGGTCGATTAATTGGTGCTAGGTTTGTAGAAGACAAAACGCTGACTCTTCAGCCGGTATCGCTCCCATTATATTACATCTTTTCTGCAATAGGATGGTCCCGATCTTCTAGCTGCACTTCCTTACCTTCAATTACTTACAGTACTCTAATGTGCATCCTCATCAACTCGTTTCATTGTCAATTTGCATATTGATTTCGAAGTCGCTCAATAAGCAAAGCAGCTTGGACGCGGAGATTGGCGCATTTAAGCGGATCCTGTCCAAAAATGAGTGCGCCGAGGTACTTTTTGTCGGCAATGGCGCTGAGTGAATTACGGCCAACTGCATTCGTCTGCCGTTGTGCGCAATGAAAAGCGCCGTTTATTGAATAAATGTCTTCTCAAATCTGAATGTTATCAACGTTTGTAGCCTTCTATTCTCTAAAATTTCCTATGAAGCCCACATTCTCAGAAATTACCTTAATTTTTACATTTTCAGAAACTTCATGAAT